ACAGCCCCTCGGCCCCCTCTTCTTGCCACAGCCTAAGGAAAGTCTAAGACCTGGGCAGGGATCTCCTCCTGGCCCAGTCTGCTTTGTAAATCGTAACTTTCCCAGACATGCTTGCGGTGTGGTGAGAAGTGTGGCACATGCCTGCTGGTGGCCCTCAGGTCAGCGCCGTACACGAGGAATTTCTCAGTGAAACATTCAAAATCGTCTTCTCCGGTTATGCTGAGAGAATCCATGTCTGTTAGCTGGACTCGCCCTACTGTGAGGCCGAACGCCGGGATTGCCCTTCTGTCCAGCTGTTATGGTCCGTGCTAGGTGTCCCTGCAAAGCCTCATGCAATCACGGAGCAGCTTCTAGAGGTTGTCATTAATTCGTGATCTGCTGCTGGGATTACGGGTGTGAGTGCTGCATCCTCCCTGGCTGGGCAGCCTGTGCGCAGAGTACGGGAGGGAGAGGCTGGCTCGCGGCCGCAGCTGCTGCGCTTCGCTCCTGTTTTGCGGCTTTCTGCCGCCATGAGCTCCTGCCCTCTGCCGTGTGCCACTGTGCGTTGGAGCCAGCCGAGCATGGACTGAAACCCCCGTGAACTGTGAGCAAAGTAAGCCTCTCCTTCCTGAATTCTGAGAGTCAAGAATATTGTCCCAGCAAGGCGAGAAAGCTGACCAAGACTCCAGCTGCTCTTGGTACCCCGCGGCCTGCTCAGCCTCCATCTCCGCTCTGCTCCAGCCTCTGGTAGGTGTGAGGCTCCGCTCTCCCGTGAGATCAGCTGCGTTTAGATGCCACATGAGTGAGATTAGGTGACGCTTGCCTTTCCATCCTGGTGTATTTCACCTAATAACTACTGTTCTATTCATGTTGTCCCAAATAACAGGTATCATTATTTTCATAGCTGAGTAATATTCCATTTCCCATATAGATCATCCGCCTTTCCCTTCCCTTCTGTGTAGGCCTGGGGACTGAACCTGGGGTCCCTGCTTATGCCAGGCAAGCGAGCGATGTCTCTGGCCTGTATTTTTTTTTAACTCTTAAGTGGCATTTTATTTTTGCTTTTGAACTGACAGTGTGTGCACTCCTGGTGGGCACAGGCGGTGACTGCGCACACTGCACAGCGCTCACGCCAGGCAGTGAGTGTCTCCACTCTGCGCAGTCGCTGTTTTCTGTAGCCAGGAGCCCTCCGCCCTGCAGTGCTGCATCAGACACCCCGCGGGTTGCCGGCACCCCAGCCTGGGCTGTGCTGAGGCCACCAAGCACGTTCTCCATGTCCACCCCTTGGGACACTCAGGCCACACCACACACACCCGCCCTGGTGGCCAGAGCCACACGGGGCCACACAGGGTGTCTTCTTGGGGCTGGGCGCCCATTCAGTGCCCTCTGAGGGCACCACAAGGGCTGGCTCAGGGCGGGGTGCAGACACAGGGAGACGGAGCCACGTGAACGGGGTGGCTCATGCTGAGACACAGTGGGACTGCCTGGCATCTGGACATGGCTTCCTGCCCCTCTTGCTTGTGGGTCGGCAGGGAGGGAGCCGCTGCTCCCCCATACCTGTGAACCCCGTGGTGGCCTGTGGGGTTCAGCGCCCCGAGCGTGGTCAGCTGCGCCTGTGTGGCCCTGGGCTCGGCCCGGCCCCACGGCTGCTCTGGCCTGCGGGATCCCTGACAGAGGAGGAGGCCGTGCTTGGAGTCAGCCACCAGTGGCGTGGGGACATGGGTCTTTGGCGTAGCTGGGGCTCCTTGGCAAGCCCCAGTGTGTGTGTGCACGCGTGTGCGTGTCTAGATGGGCCTTGCTGTGCCAGCAGCGCACCAGCAGCACGCACGCCGTGTGCATTGTCATTTTCAGTTACGTGGACATCAGCAGTCAGGGTGGCAGCAGGCTCGCCGTAAGCTGCCGGTCTCGCCTGCGTCTTCCCTGCCCCTCCGAGACACACAGGGTGGGTTGTGCTCACCAACGCTTCCTGTCCCGTGGAGCCAGGTGCCCCAAATGAGCCCTCGGCTGCCCTCAGTGCGGCGATGGTGTGTGGAGCTCCGCGTAGACCCCAGAGGGTGGCATGTGGCTGGCATCTCTCCCGGGCCTTGGGTACTTCACCCCCGAGCCAGAGCCCCGCAGCTGAGGTAGCATTGTGCTTGCTGTGCTCCCCTTTCTGCAGGCGGCATCCGTTCCTTTCTCTTAGTGACGTATCCGGCTGTACCCGCAATGGCTGAGAAGACTGGGTCAGATTATGATAAATGAAATCTGTGAGGTTATTTTTCCTTTCTTTCGTCTTTTTTTGAGACAGGGTCTCACTGTGGAGAGGCTGGCCTTGAACTTGCTTTGTGGCCAGGCTGTCCTCAAACTCAACAACGATCCTCTTGCCTCGGCCTCCCAAATGCTGGGATTCCATATGTACCACCAAGCCTGGCAGCTGAACTCTGTGTATTATTTATTTATTTATTTATTTATTTATTTATTTTTGTGGAACTGGAGATTGAACACAGGCCCAGGGAAGCGCTTATTTCACTGAGCCATCTCCCCAACCCCTAAACTCGAGGCTTCTTTTTTACTTTTTCTTTCTTTCTTCCCCCCCCCCCTCTTTCGCGGTTCTGGGGATTGAACTCAGGACCCTGCACTTGTCAGGCAAACACTTATTTTACTGAGCTATCTCCCCAGCCCTGAACTCTGCTTTTTCACTGGCCTTTGCAGGAAGGAATACTTCACTTGTGCTGTAACAGAAAGACTTTCTCAAGAAAACCTAAGTGGAACTGATGGGTTTGGACAGGCTCAGGAGCTGGTGTCCTTCCTGCAGGACAGGTCCTCCAGCCTCAGCAGACTTGGCCACCACGTAGGAGTTAGGACGGAGGGACAGGGCTGAGGCTCGCGGGCCCCAGGTGTGCAGCGAGCTGCGGCCTTCCCAGCCTTCTTGCTGCTGACTCAGGGTGGCGAAAGGCGCCTCGTACTTCATGATGTTCCCTTGCATTGCTCTTGGGCTGTGTTTGGAACTGCATGCGTGTTCAGGGCTGGCAGAAGCGAGAGGGGCGAACGCACGGTGTGCTCCTGCCGTGGGCTGCAGTGGGCTGGGCATTCTCGTGAGTAGCAGAGCTGAGGAGAGGATGTAGTGGGCAGCAGGTGCTGGATGCCGAAAGCGACCCCCTTTCATGGGGTATTGGGTTGTAGGAGGATAAAGGCCATGCCAGGCAAATTTAGAGTTAAAACACAGCCTGTCGTCTGAATTCACTTATGTTCCAGAGGTGCAGACAGTACTCTGTGGGACAGCTCCTGCCTGAGCGAATCCAAGACAGAGTTAGCAGGCGTCAGATGGGGCACAGCGGGCGTCTGCGGTCCCAGGTCCTAGCGCTGTGGCCCTGCAGAGCCACTCCTGGAGGAAACATCAGGAGGGAGCGAGCCGCGTATCTTGAGGCCCGTGGTGCTTGGTCCTAGGGTCTCGAGTGGCTTTTGTCATGACTGTGGATGAGTGGGTGCCCTCTCTGAGAATGATGGCAGATCTGCGGTGAGATCCTTCCCCTCCTCACCTGGAGCTGGAGACTGGGGTTGGGGGTAAAGCTTGGAATCATGTGAAGTGGTACCCTGATGGATGCTTTCAAGGAGGTCTGCACAGAGCCGGGTGCAGCCCGGGCGTCTTGGGCTCAGAGGAGAGCCAGCAGTGTGGCTGCAGTGAGCGAGTATGCCCAGGTCTGTCGTGCCCAGGCTGAGCATGTGGGCAGCCTGCCTCCCTGGCTTGGGCGTGTGGTTTGCGCTGCCTCCAGGGAGGCACCTGGGAGCCTGGGCCTGCGGCAGCGCGGCTGTGCAGTCGCCCCCGCCCTGTTGACCTGGCTGCCCTGTGCTGTCCCCTTCTGTCCCCAGGAGTCCCCCGTCACTGTGGAAGGAGGCAGGAAGCACCCGGGGTGGGTACATGCTTCTCCTGCTTGGACTTTGCTGCCTTACCGGGCTGCAGAGCCCGAGGGCCAGCGATGCAGACGTGTGCCGCACCCTGCTGCCGGGCTCTTGCCGGGTTCTGCTGGGAACTCCGGGTGTCTCTGACATCCTCTCGCGAGGACACAGGAGCTCCCAAGGTGGAGCCCTTCATCCTGTGGCTCTTCATCCTACAGCAGCACGTGCCAGTAGCTAAGGAATGGAAGAGGCCTAGGTGCCCCTTAGCAGATAATGGGTAGAGAAAATGTGGTATGCCTACATAGTGGAGTACTACTCTGTTATGAAGAAGGATAAACTTGAGTCCTTTGGAAGGAAATGGATGAATCTTGGCACCCTCACACTAATGAAGTAAACCAGACGCAGGAGGTTAAGTATTGTATGCATTCTCCTACATGAGAAATAATCAGAAATAACTTGAAGAGGGAAGAAAAAGAGAGCAACAGGAAACCAAGAGCCCTGTGAATTACCCCAAATCCTCCTTGCCTGCCACCCATGGGAAACCTGTCCCCAGGAAGCAGCCCCTGGTGCTGGAAAGGGCGGGAGCCACTGCTGTGTCACGGTAGTGAAGCCAGAGGCGGCCGGCACTTGTGGTGAGGGGTGCCAGAGAAGACGTGGCCACCTTTCATGTAGACATCAGCGCACCAGCTCCCGAGGTGTCACCTACTTCTGTTCCACAGAGGGAGGGAGACAGGAGACTGCGCACCACACGTGGCCCTCAGCCTACCCCCATGCAGAGACTGCAGGCTGCGTCGCTGGTCCTGAGCCTGAGGTTTTCCTCACTCTGACAGGCAGCGGGAGGCAGGGGCAGCCACAGCTCCCAGTGTGGCCGAAGCAGGGGCCTCCTTCCCCCTGTGGAGCTCGCGTGCTGCTCCTGTCCACCCTCACCCGTCCGCGGGCCCTGAACCGCACTTGCAGGTCAGACAGGAGCATAAGCGGTTCCTGCAGCCACTGCAGAGTGTGCTTAGAGGCTGGAAAGGTCTGTGAAGAGAGCCCTCGTGCACAGGTCTGCACGGAGGGTCTCCCGTCCCTTCCCGAGGAGGAGGAGGTGGGTTCGTCAGGAGCAGAGTGGCCCCGCTGATGATGCGTGTTCCTCTCCCCCGCAGGGCTGCCTGACCATGCCCAACTCCCCGTCTGCACATCCACGCTCCCTGAGTCTGGGGCCGTCCCTGTCCCTGGGCAACATCTCAGGAGTTTCAGTGAAGTCGGAGCTGAAGAAGCGCCGGGCACCGCCTCCTCCAGGCTCAGGGCCGCTGGTCCAGGACAAGACCTCGGAAAAGGTAGGGGTGGGCGGGCCACTGCGGTTCAGTGACCCACCTGGCTCCCGTGGACGATATACCTCCTCACCCTGTGGCCTTAGCTAGCAGGGTGTGCCGGGTGAGCCACGGGCTTTATTTAGAAGCACAGGCGAGCTCTCACACCGCTGCGGTTGCTGGAGACCGCCAAGTATTCTGAGGCCTTTGTCCCTCCGCGCAGGCTTGCAAGCGGACACGCATTTTGTCCGAGTGCTGAGACCCAGGGGCGTCCACGTGGTCGTGCACACGAAGTCTGCCTGGGGGGGGGGGGCTCGGAAGTCTGAAGCGTGCAGGATCTCAGGGATGCCCGCTCGCAGGGAAGCCGACAACGTCTCCGCCTGTCACACCACTGTCAATGTGACCTGAGTGTGTCTCATGCGTTGCGGCAGCCTGCTTGTCCTGTGTCCCCAGATCCTTGAGTGCCTTGAAGGTGGCCGAGTCCCGGGTGCCACCTGGAGTCGTGCAGGGCTCCGCCCCTGGGCTGCTTCTCTGGGCGCCGCGGAGGCCAGGGGACGTGACCTGAAGCCCCTCCCTCCTGGTCTGCAGTTTCAGCGCTCTTGGGCCGCACCTTGCTTCCGCTTCCCTGGTTTGTGGTTAACAGCAGTCCGTGGCAGCCCACATATACTTACTGGAAAATTCCAGAAATAATTCGTACGTTTTCAGTCCCACGCTGTGAAGTCTCTGGCAGTCAGAATGCGTCCACACGGCGTGTGCTGCCCTCCTGCAGTCACTGGGAGCTGTTTCCCCAAGGAGGCTTGATGATCCCAAACCTGCTGTGCTGCGAGTGAGGGCCCCTCACTTCACTTCCAAGCGGCCCCTCAGTGCAGGAGCCGGCAAGGGCTTCTCCTGAGTGTAGGCGCTGGCCCTAGTCTTTAGCTTAGGCCTGTCCCATTCCAGGCACCAGCTGGGGTTCTGCTTGCGGAGACAGCACTGGCTCCTCTTTCCCCAGCACGGGGCAAACTGTAGAAATGGGAAGCTTCGCTGCTCTAATCTGTCCCTGTCCCCGCCCCAGTCTGGGTGTGTGGCACAGGCATGTGGGCGGCGGGCTGGCAGGGAGGGCGGCCGATGCTTTCGGTTCTAGTTCTGCAAGGCAGCATGGCCCAAGGTGATGGACCCTCAGTGGAGGTAAGCTCCCCTCCTGCTGGGGTCGAGCATCCACCTCCCTGCAGTGCTGGGGAGACAGCGCACCCGAATACCACCCAGGGGTGCAGCGAGGGTGCCTTCCTCTGCAGGGGCTTCTGCCCTGCCTCAGGGTCCCTGTACCTGTCCCCGTGTCACAAAGGCTGGGCACACCACAGCCTTGCTAGTCTTTAACTCTCAGCCCTTTTGTGCTAGTTGCACAAAACTTTTCCTTAAAACATACCAGAAGCAAAGGCTGGACTTCCGTAGCCGGAGGCTTGGCCCCCGCTGCAGCCTCGCTCTGCGCGGGCCCGGCACCACTCGGGCTGCCTGCTTGTGACCGCTGTGTCCATCCCATTCCTCTGCCCACCCAGGGGCGTCCTTGACTTCATGTCTCATGACTTCATGCAACGTTTAGGCCAAATACGCCCCCACGTGGCCCGTGTGTGGGAGGTGGCGGGTCACAGGGCACAGTGCTCACCCCCAGGGTCCTCACCGGTGAGCAGCAGGAGGTAGGACCTGGGCTGTGTTCTTGTCCCTGGGTCCCCTGCCTCCCTCCACTTCCTGCTGGCCTGGGCTGAAACTGCAAGTGCAAATCTACCTCTCGCCTTTAAGCAGAGGCTGTAGGGGAACGAAGGCCCTGTGCCACCCCACAGCCAGATGTTCCATCCACCTCTCAGATCTGTCACCAGAGGCTGTCATGTGATGTATTTTAGAGGAAAATATGTTTATTTTTGTCTCAAACATCACATAATGCCACTCATGAGCTGTGAACTCGCCATGATATTGTTGGTACATTTTGATAAAAGGCAGTCTGGTCCCAAATAGCATCTTGTTCTGTCGTACGCCTGCACTGGGACACGAGGCGTCCGTGAAGCACACAGGTAGGACGCGGTTTCCCAGGGTGTGAAGCGGCCCTCTCACGTGCTGGTGAGGCTCTGAACTTCTCCCTAAGAAGGAGTTCGCACGGGCCGTTCTACCGCGCTGGCTGTTTTCTGTTACCTGCCCCTGGGGATACCTTTGCGCTGTCGGTTGGGAGAGATCATTTCTTTAGTGGTTAAATGATGAATTCTAGGCTCAGTATCCTGTAAGCCTTCTTTCCAGTAAAACTTAACGTTTACCTAACGTGGCGGAACGGAGATGCTGAGCTAATCAAGCGTCTTAAGACGCTCTCCGTTCTAAGAGGATGACGCACGTCTCCACCACTAACGGCCTCGCCCACCGCGGCCTCAGCCTGCCTGGGCGGGCTGTGCTGTGGCAAGCAGAGAACTGGGAGTTCTGAATGGAAAGCAGCGCGTCCTGCCCTGCAGGGCGAGCGGATCACCTTCAGAGGCAGACAAAGCTTTTCTCTGAAATGTTTCGGCGCTCAGAAGGCCTGTCCCTTCGTGAGCACACGAGTGCCATGTGTGTGAGGGGGAGCATTTGCCGGGGACCGGGGACCGGGGACAAGCCTCTTCTATTTGTTCTAAATGGAAGGTATTTTGCTATTAACTGATTTCTTGGAAAGAAGCCCAAAAGTGTATTGTTGTCCTGGTTGCGGGGGAAAAAGTCCGTCCCATCTTGGTGAACTTCCTTCTGTGCGCAGGTAAGACGTTTGTTGGGGAACCATATTTATGTGCCGTGGTGACTGGCGCAGACATCCTGTGTGGGAGAAAGGTTCATTTCCAGGACTGGACTCGTTTATAAGAAAAGGAGCAAACCTGTGCGTTCTGCAAGACTCGGCTCTTTTAGAAACAAAGTGGAGTTGTTGCTGATGGTCGGCGGATTGACTGTAGCCGACTTGCAGTTCACCTGAAAGTTACAGAAAAATGTCACAGTTGTGTCAGTCTGTGTTGCCTGACCATGGCACATAATTTGATCACAAGTATGTATTATTTCCAAGAGAATGTCCCTGCGTTGTTAGCACTGGGAAGTCCGCGTAGCCCCCCTGGACAAGCTGCCTACTGAGCTCTAGGCTGGCGTCGGGGGCATGGCCAAGAGGGCAGCAAAGCGCCCTGGACCCACAGCTGCCCCGCTGCCCGAGCGCCTGAGCTCGCCCACGCCCTGGCGCCGGGCGCAGGGTCAGTATTTCTCTATAATTTTTCTCCTTTCATTATTTTATTATATTGGGGATTGAATCCAGAGCCTTCACACTAAGCTACATCCCCAGCCCTCTTCATTTAGTTTTATTTTATCTGGAGATAGGGCCTCACTAAATTGCTGGGGCCAGGCTTGGATTTGTGATCCTCCTGCCTCAGCCTCCCTGAGTGCTGCGATGATGGGCATGTGCCCTCACACCCAACTGCCCTGTTACATAAGGGACATCAGCACGTGTGGGTTTTCGTGTCGCCCGAGGTCCTGGAACCGATTCCCTCAGCTTCTGAGTGCAGTGGTGCAGCTTGCAGCAAGGAGGTTGAGGCCCAGATGTCGGTGTGAGCCAGAGGTGGATCTCAGCCGTCCCTGGCCAGACATTCACAGCGAGGTTCACAGACACTGTCCATCCAGCCCTACCCCAGAGACCTGCCCCGCCCCCAGCCGCGCAGCAGGGCCCGACTGCGCATGGCCATGCAGGCGCTCTCCGCCTCCCTCGTTCAGTGTCTGCGACAGTAAAGCTAGGCCTGTGTGTCTGTTGCTTTTTGGACGTCCCGTCCGGTCCCCTCGCTGGGATTTTTCCTTCGAGTGCTGCTTGGCCATGTTTGCAAATTTCTTCGGAGCAGCACGGTTGTGTTTGTGCGCATGCGCATGCGTGTGCCCGCCTCTGTTGCTGTTGGTGAAGCACCTCTCTATAACTTGCTGTAGATAACCTGGAGAGCTGCCCTTTGGGATAGTCCTTGTTCCACGGAGGTGAGGAAACTGAATCCACACAGGCCACACAGAGCTGCGTGGCAGGGTGACCCTGGAGCAGGTCCCGCCTGGGCTGACCCTGTCCCTTCAGACCCAACAGAGGCCTGTCCCCTTCTTCACTGCCCCCCCAAGTCACACAGTTTTGTGTTTGCACTGGACAGGTTGCAGCCAGCAGCTGGCCCTGAGAAGGCCAAGAGCGCGCATGGGAAGACCCTGCAGATGTTCAGCATAGAGCCTTTTTTTTTCTTCTTTTGCGGGCCTGACTATACTGGGCATTGAACTCAGGACCTTGTGCTTGCTAGGCACACACTTCTGCACTAAGCTATCTCCCTGGCCCATCTTGCTGACTATTTTTGATCAGCAGTTATTGAACTCACAGATACGGAACCCATCACTCTGGAGGGGCAGCTTTATTTTAGCTGAAAAAAAACCCAAAACTTGCTGAGGCCAAGAGCTGCACTCAGATGTGTACATTGCAGTCCTGAGCTGGTGGGGTGGAGCGTGCCGAGAACGTGGCGTTAGTTGTGTGTACGAATTTTCTAGCCAGGTGTGGAGGTGCACACCTGTAACTCCAGCAGTCTGGGAGGCTGAGGAAGGAGGATCTCAAATTTGAACCCAGCCTAGAAAACATAGAAGTTAGCAAGACCCTGCCTCAAAATTAAAAGTTTAAAAATGCATGGGGATAAAGCTCAGCTCAAAGGCCTCGAGGTTCAATCTCCTGTGTGTGTGTGGCAAAAAGAAAGAATTGTTGGTAAACAAGCCCAACTAGTGCAAAATACAGCTATCCGTATTAATTCCCTTTGGGACTAAATAGCCAGGTGTGGGCTTTGTTTGCATGCTGACCTGCAAGGTTCGACATGAGCACTCGCTAGCACCGAGCCCTTGGCCCCGAGGGGCCGGGAGCCAGGCTGGTCGGTAGCAGTAGCCCTGTTTCTGGGCCCCTCTTGTCCTTTTCAGCACAAAGGTTCTGCCCGCCCGCCCGCCACGTCACCTGTTGTGGTGCTCGGGACAGAGGGGTGTGGTTGTCACCTACCTCCACTGCA